TATATTAGCTCAGCCTACCCATGAGCAATTGATGTTTTTCCAATTATTTAGATCTGACTTTGTCTGAAAAGTGTTCTGTAATTGTGTTCACATAGTTCCTGGGTTTGTTTTAGTAGGTAGACTCCTAAATATTTTATAATGTCTACAGTAACTTCAAATGGAATTTCTCTTTCTATCTCTTGCTATTGGGCTTTGTTGGTAATATACAAAAATGCCAATGATTTATGCGGGTTTATTTTATAGCCTGCAACTTTGCTAAAGTTGTTTATTATTTCAAGTAGTTTTTCACTTGATTCTCTAGGGTTCTCTAAGTATATCATCATCTCATCTCCAAAGAGTGATAGCTTTGTCTCTTCTTTGCCGATTCTAATACCTTCAATTTCTTTTTCTTCTCTTATTGCTAAAGCTAACATTTCCAGTACGATATTGAATAACAGTGGTGATAATGGACATCCTTGTTTCACCCCCTTCACATAGATCTTTCCAGATTCTCTGCATTCATCACACATATCATTTTTTATAACACAGTAATATTCCATTACAATCATGTACCATAATTTTTTTTGCCATTCCCCAATCAACGTGCATCGACTTTGTTTCCAGTTTTGAGCTATAACCCAAAGTACTGCTATAAATATTTTGGAGCACATAAGGGCTTATTTCTAATTGACGGCTTCTTTGTGGTATAACTCCCATAATGGAGTTTCTGGTTCAAAGGGTCTATGTATGAACTAAAATGTGCATTTTTTTTTACTTTATTTGCATAACTCCAAATTTGCTTTCCAAAATTGCTGTACCATTTCACAGGTCTAACAATGTATTAGTGTGTCTATCTTTCCATAACTCCTCCAACACTGACTGTTGTCTTTTAAAAAAAATTTTTATTTTTGCCAATGTGCAAGGTATGAAGTGAAACCTCAGAGTTGTTTTGATTTGTATTTCAATTATTATTAGTGATTTGAAGCATTTTTTCATATGGTTTTGAGTACTTTGTAGTTCCTTCAGGAATTATTTGTTCATATCCTTCGACCATTTATCTATTGAAGAATGTCTATGACTCTCATATATACTTATTAATTGTTTCTATATCTTGGATATTGAACATTTATCAGAGAAATTTTACACAAAGATTCTTTTCCTATTTGATCACTTCCCTTCTTATCCTAGATGCATTAATGTTGTGTGTGCAGAATGGTCAAGAGGCAAGTTTCAAGTAATCAAAGTTATCTATTTTATCTTTTGTAATTGCCTCTTCAAGCAAGTTCAGTTTCAAGTAATCAAAGTTATCTATTTTACCTTTTGTAATTGCCTCTATCTATTTTGTTAAGAAAACATTTCTTGGGGGTAGTTAGGTGGCACAGTGAATAGAGCTCTGGCCTTGGGGTCAGGAGGACCTGAGTTCAAATCCAGCCTCAGACACTTAACAAGTACGATCTGTGTGACCCTAGGCAAGTCACTTAACCATGATCACCTCACAAAAAAAGAAAAAAAAAAGTAAAGAATACATTTCTTACCCATAGCTGTGTACCAGAGGTACATGATCTGTTTCTCCTAATTTTTTTATAGTATGATCTTTAATATTAAGGTCACATATTCATTTGGAGACTGGTGTAAAGTGTTGGTCTAAGCTTAATTTCTGCCATTCTTCTTTGCATTTTTCCCAGCAGTTTTTATCAAATAGGGAGTATTCCCCTAGGTAACATGTTTTTCACTTTATCCAACACTGGGTTATTGAGTTCTATTGTTTCTGAACATCCCTTGTCTAGTCTGTCTCACTGACCTATGTCCCTAATTTTTTTTTAACCAATACCAGATGGTTTTGATGACTACTGCTTTCGAATATCATTTGAGGTCTGGAAGTGCTAGTCCCCCTTCATTCTTACTTCTTTTCATTATTTCTCTTCATAGTCTAGATCCTTTGTTTTTCTAAATGAATTTTACTATTATTTTGGCAAGCTCTGTAAAGTATCCTCTTGGTAATTTAATTAGGATAGCATAAAAGTGCAAATAGATTTTGGTAGTATTGTCATTTTTATTACATTAGCACAGCCTAGCCATGAGCACTGACTATTCCTCCAGCTATTTAGCTTGTTCTTTAATTCTAAGAATGCTTTGTAATTGAATCTGTAAGTCTTCTGTGTGCCCCTTTTCTTTCAAAAAATTTTTTTCAATTTAAAATATTCTCAGAACATTTCTCTCAATTTGACACAAAGCCCCATGTTTTATGGGGGAGCCACTCAAATCTCAAAAAGAAGTCTTACCAGTCCTGGCTCTCTATCCAGGGAGCCAGAAATTGCCGAAGCTCCATGGGAAAGCTGTCGCTGTACAACTGGTGAAGTTGCTCTAGGTACCGTGTGTCGAGCTGCTGCAGCTGGTTCCATTGTGCCATCTTGCTGGAGTCTAGGGTTGTCAGCTACAAACCAAGAAACACATATGGTTGATGTGAATTCTGAGACAACTATTGAACTTGTTAAGGAACAATAGGCCCATTCTCAGAAGTAACCAGCCTACCTATTCTGCACATAACTCAGAACATGATAAGGGAAGATAGTATACTTTGAAAGAGAAGTTTTACTTTGCTCTATCTGGGTGGCGCATACATTGATCACAAGTCTTCTAGCTTTGTAAACCAAATGTGATTTCCACTAAATTACAAGATTAGCAATGTACACATTATGCAAATTTCTCAAGTAATTTAGGATAAACAAAATCAAGGCTGTATTAAAAATATGGTGATGGAATAAGTATAGAATGAAAATGAAAATGGGAAGCTAATTCTAGTAATGAATTTTTTTTATTTAAAATTTTTTCAATTATCAAGCATTGATTTTTTTTCTCCCTGAAACCTCTCTTCCAGTGGGGGAAAAAAAAGAAAAGGAAAGGAAAAAAGAAAAAAACTCCTTATAACAAATATGTATAGCCAAGCAAAACAAATTCTCATATTGGCCACGTCCACAAATCTATGTCTCATTAGGTTGAACATTTTAAAATGCATAAAAAGATTTATCCATACCTTTAATAACTCAATTTTAAATACTCTCTGTTGATGGGGTACTTAAATATATAGAATGAGAGTTTCATGAAACTAGTCCTGCCCCGGGTTCCAGAAAACCTGAATGAAATCTTTAAGTTTGAGAGACCATTTTGGCCTATATAAACCTCTCTCAGACCAATTTGGATCATGAAAATGGAAACTCAGATGAAACCATTTCAAGCAGCTGCAAAAGAGTAATGACTAATAGTGACTCCTACTTATTCAATGGTTTAACAATCTATGATTGTGTTGGTGTGGCTATCCCCTCTACCAACACAGATCACAACCTTATTAATTCTCAGCAAATGGTCTTCATGACATGCTACAGCTAAAATATATATCACTCTGCAGCCAAACTGGTAATGAGCCTTTCTGAAATCAGACAGTCTGGTCCTTAGTCTAAAGAAATGTAACATGCAGTCTGTTACTAGGCTTGTTTTCAAAACTTTTTACCTTGGCAGAACTTCAAGAACCCAAGCACTGGAGAAAGCCTTTCACAGAGGGACATATAAGAGGTGTGAGGGTCATCAAAGCACTGACAGACCAACAGATGCCAGGGGTTATCTCAAGATGTCGATGATCTTCAGTGAATGATACAATTCAAAAGGCACAAAGTTACTACAGGTCCAAGCTTATGACTTCTTTTTTTGATAGTGATACTATTTATACACACATTTTATATCTCTATTCAAATATAATTGAAATTATATTATATTCATTATATTCAAATAGCTCTGAGATCTTATTAATTTGAGAGTTTCCTCCAATGACGCAGATCACAATCCATCCACACCTGCCCTTCCTGTGCAATGTTTGTACATGTTCTCTAAAGTGCACCGTAGGGGGTTCATCCAACATGTTGGGGTATTTCACTTTTTTCCAACATCTCAAAGGTACCAGAGAAGCACTTCAGCTATTCACTCGTCTTTGCTCTTGCCTCTTGGCCAGCTCATCTTCTCTTCCTGTTATGCAACTCCTTTTATACCTGTTCTTCAGAATTTCTCATGCATTCTATATTGCAACCAATTCACAGAAATCAGAGGCCTTTCCATTGCCCTCTATGTCATTCAGTTAACAAGCACTTATTAAGCGCTTAATAAAAAGTGCCAGGCTAATGGAGACACAAAGAAAAGTAACAAACACCATCACTGCTCTCAAGGAACTCATATTCTAATCAGGGAGACAACTTGCAAACAATTAAGTACATCCAAGACATACATACACAGTGTAAATAAAAAGTAAGCTAAGAGGGCAGGCACTAACAATACAGGGGACAGAGGAAGGCCTCTTGCAAAAAATGGAGCTTCAGATGAATCCTGAAGGAAGCCAAAAGGCAGAGCTGAGGAACACAAACATACTAGGCATGAAGAACAGTCAGTTGATAGACGGAGGAACAGCAAGTAAGGCAGTGGTGCTGAACCATAGAGTGAGTAGAGGGGAGTAAAGTCTAAGACAGGGAAGGTAAGAGGGGGCTGGGCTGTGAAGGACTTAATTGCCAAACAGGGCATTTTACATTTGAACCTGGTGGTAACAAGGAGCCATTAGAATTTATTTTGTAGGGGCGTGACCAGATGTGTGCTCTGGGAAAATCACTTTGGCAGTTGAGTGGAGGATTAGTAGAATTGGATAGACTGGAATGAAGAGAGAGACAAGGCTGGGAGACCAAACAGAAAGCATTACAATAATCCAGGCATGATGTGATAAGGGCACACATGGAAAGCAGGGCACATAAATGGATGTGACAGCAGAAATGACAAGACTTAACAGACTGAATATCTGGGCAAGCTTGAGTGAGGGGTCATGGATGACACCAAGGATTCAAGCCTGTGGGACTGGGAGAATTTTGATGCTTTTGATGGTAATAAGAAGTTGGGAAAAGGGGAGGTTTTGGAGGGAAAAATCACGACTTCTGTTTTGAATATGTTGAATTGGAGATGCCTTTAGGACATCCAATTTGAGATGTCTAAAAGGCAAGTTGGTGATTCAAGACTGGAGTTTGGGAGAAAGAATAGGGCTGGATATACAGATCTTAAATCATCTGCATTGAGATAATAACTGAACCCAGGGGACCTGATGAGAATACCAAGTATGATAACATACAGCAGGGATTCTTAACCTTTTTTTGTGTTATGGGCCCCTTTGGCAATCCTGTGAAAGCTATGGATTCTAAAATTAAAATACGAATTCCAAAGGAAATTAATTATATTGAAATGTAGTTGCCAAAATATTGAAAAAACAAAACACACAAAAAACTAGTTCACAGACCCCAGATTAGGAATCCTTGGTATAGAGGAAGAAAAGGACCCAGGGAGTAATGTCATGAAAACCTATAGAAGAGAAAATATTCAGGAAAAGAAAATGATTTACAGGGTCAAATGCTGCAGAGAGGTCAGGAAAGATAAGAACTGAAAAAAAGGACATCAGATTAGTAAATTAAGAGATTATTAGTAAAAGAGTAGTTCCAGTTAAATGATGAGGTTGGAAGACATTGCAGAGGGTTTTGAATTAAGTGAAAAGAGAGTAAGTGGTGGCACCTGGTGGGTGGTTAGGTGATATAGTGGATATAGAGTGCTGGGTTTGGAGTCAAGAAGACCTGAGTTCAAATCCAGCCTCAGACACTTGCTAGCTGTGTGGCCATGCACTTGACCTCTGTTTGCTTTAGTTTTCTCAATCGTAAAATAGGGATGATAATACCATCTATCTCACAGGGTTGTAGTGAGGATCAAGTGAAATAAAATTGCTTAGCACAGTACAAAGCATATGGTAGGCACTATATAAATGTTTATTTACTTTCCTCTTCTCTCTTCTTCTTCCCTTCCCACCTGGGATAGCTTTTTCAAGGAGTTTAGTCAAAAAAAGGAGAGATATAAGAAAATAGCCAGGGGACAGCTAGGTGGCACAGTGGATAGAGCACGGGTCCTGGAGTCAGGAGGACCTGAGTTCAAATCTAACT